TGCAGAGGCTGCGGGCAGCTTCGCAACCCAGTGCTCAACCGCTGCGCCACCGGGGAGGTCTCATTCTTCTTTTTCTGTGGAAGGCATATTTTATTTTATATATATATAAAATAACATCGTTCTTCCTATGTATTTTATATAGGAAGAAATATATTTTATATAGGAAGGAATATATATTATATACATATATAAAACAATTTATGATTTTTCCTCTTGGGTGTAGTCCCCGTAAAACACCATTTCTCCTGTGCACCATCATCATAGTCCCTTGTGTTCATCCCTCCCTTGTTTTGTTCCCTCTCCCTCCCTCTCCCCTGCAGAATGTCTCTGATTTACAGTTGCCTGTTAATTTTTTTAATTTATTATAATTATTTTTTTCTTGATCCCTTATTTGGTTTCCCTATATCCCCTGTAACCTCCCTATAAGTGAAACCATCCAAATGCCCAAAAATAGAGACTGGATCAAGAAGATATCATATATATACACAATGGAATATTACTCAGCAATCAAAAAAGATAAACTCATAACATTTGCAGCTACATAGATGGTGCTGGAAGGGATTATACTCAGTGAAAGAAGCCAGAAGAAAAAGGAAAGTATCAGATGGTTTACTCTTCATTCTTCAGGGTGAAAGATTTGAGTAGGAAGCAGGAGTATATAATTGAAATGTCATTTTTTTTGAAAGTAGTTTTCATGTTTAGGATTGATTGAAGGAGTGAAATGATACAGTGAGATGATCAAGAAATAAGTCATAAGAGGTCAGGCAGAAGAGGAACAATAAATATCTGGTCAAGTCAGAGGCTGTGGAAGTGAAAATGGGAACAGCAGTAAAAATATTTACTGAGCCCCTTTTATGTATAAAATATAGTAGTTGGTATTTTATAGCTATCTTAATATTTACAACAATCCTGTGGGGTACTTTATTAACTTCCTTTTCAGATGAGGAAACAGGCTCCAGGAAATTAAGAAACTTGACTCCAAATCATATGATTTTCAAATGAGTGGAGTGTGTAACCAGAATCCAGATCTGTTAGGTTTCTAAATTAGTGATTTTTGTCAAATCTTGCTTAGCATTTTGAGCCATAGATTTGAGAGTTATCACTGTCCTTTGATACCAAATGGCACATTAACTAGTCGTCTTTGTCATTCAATGGCTTTTTATCTCAACTTTTTAGGGATTTGGTCATGAATAGAAGAGATGGAATGGCTTAGCAGAAGATAATTCTGAGGATTATAATGAGAGCTAGAACAACATAACCCTGCAAGTGGATTAAATGTAGAGTAGATGCAAATACTGGGCCAGAAATTCTCAATTCCAATTTTAAGTTCAATAATGCCTCCTTTTTGTGTGGTAAACGATTTCATCTGGGCTGCTTTAAGTGCTGTTGGTGCTATAGTTTTCGAGTTGAGTTGACTCTCTAAAAGATTAATTATATGAAACATTTTTTTGATGTGAGTTTTTTTAAGAAACAGAACAGAGTGTGTAATTAGTCTACATGGTATTTTCACTACACCAGAGCTTAAAGCAAGAACTTGTACACATTGTTCTAAAAAACTGCACACTCCACAGCACTGTTGGCACTCTCTAAATGTTAAATAGTAACTCCTCTGGGAAGTGGGAAAGTCTTTTGTTAAAATGCAATACAGTGTGCATTGCCTTTTGAGATACATAAAAAACCCCAAATATTTGCAATTGTTTAGAATTCAGCTCCATCATCCATTCTTCATGTAAATTATCCATTTTCCTTAATGTTACTAAAAAATAATTTTTAAACACAGATCTAACATTTTTGTTCGGTGCAGCAGCCAACTACCTTTTCACTTACTCCTACCTTTAAGAAAAGAAACACTGACCTGGAAGATATTTCTATACCAAGCATGAGAGTTAAAAGTAAACTTTTTTTTTCTTTAGGTAGAGTTGGTCTAGTGAAATGGAGAAAGAATCTATAATGTTTTAGCAGCCTTGTGATGAGAAAAAAAGAATATCAAAATCATCTTAAACCTATCTACCTGAAGTCAGCTTAATATTAACGCCCCCCACCCCCACCCTTTTTGGGTACATAGACATTTTGGGTTGTTAGCTAAAAATAGTCCGTAAAGATTCCCCTCCACCCTGCCAAGGAGTGAGAAGATTAGGCAGAAAAAAGGTACTGTGGTCGTTCTTCTACTTGGGGCATATAGGTGTGTTTGTGTCTGTGAAGGGAAGTCCTAGGGTCCTGCATTTCTCCAGTGAACATGTTTGTGCTGTTGCAGAGCTAGAGTCACATTACTGCTTTTGGACCACACACCACTCTTCTGTCTAACCAGTCAACTCTGCGTATGAATGAATGGTGGTGATGTCAGTTCTGAAAACTGTCAACAGGGTTATTTCTTCCTTTTCAATAGTAAAAATAAAAGATTTCATGTCAGGGGCCTCCCTGGTGGCACAAGGGTTTAAGTCAGCACTATCAAGCTATCTCCAGCTACTGCAGTATGAGTTCAATCCCTGGCCAGGGAGCTGACCCACATGGCGCAGCAGACCTCTCCTGCCTCACCCGCTGCTCCCCTCAGCAGTATATTTCAGGAGATCTGCCTGTTCTGCTCCCCATTCTGTCTCTGGTGAATCCTCTCACTGCACATCTCTGGCCTGTACCTCAACTCTTGTATGCATAAATAAATAAAATAAATCTTAAAAAAAAGACTATGTCATATTAATTGAATATTATAGTTTGTCTTTAAGCATATACTTAGGATGTTTTTGTAGAACTAAACTAAAAATATTCCTTTTATATAAGCTTAACAACTTTTGTTTAATTTTTAGATAACTTAGGTTTAATTAGATAACTTAGAACTTAGGTTTAATTTTTAGGTAAGTTGCTGATGATGCATGGAAAGGTATATTTAAGAAAAACAACTCTCCTGGGATTTACTAGTCCATACTCTGAGTGACATTTCTACTTGTTTTGACTTTGGTAGAGGGAATTAAAATATAATAATAGCTCTTTGGGTAATAAGAGGCTTCTTTTTGTCCAGTAAATATTAGCACTTATATTAATACTTATATTAATATATAAGTACTTATTTATATTAATATATTAGTACCTAGTAATAATAAGCCCTCTGCAGTTGTTTTATTAACAGTCAAAAATAGCATGGGTTAGGGGTTAGTGTCAGGGTTTAGGGCTAGGGTTAGTGTTAGGGTTAAAAAAAGGAAAAAAAATAGCATGGGGATACAGAAATATTCTGTTTAACTTTGCAATATATACTTTGAGAAATTGATAAAATTTAATGGTAATGATAAAACATCTACTGAAAGGTGTTCTTAAACTCATAAATAACATTTAAGGCAATGCTTTACTGTTTATAAAGTGATTTCCTCTAAGTTATTCCTCATAGTAACCCTTGGAAGGTAGATATGCTATTCCCATTCTCAAATGGGGAAACTGAGAGTCAAGCATCTTATCTGTAGCAGAGCAATGAGAGTCATGTCAACCAGGCACTTAAATTAAAATACACATATGCCAATATACTGTGTGTGTACCAAGACTGGCGTAACTGCTACAGGGTAACCCCAGTGTGCAATGGGTTGGCCTGACTGTGGGTCCTCACCTGTACATTTAAAAGGAACTTATAATGAGACTCAACTGCAGGTACACAGTTTTATTGGGGCCTCCCTGGTGGCGCAAGGGTTTATTGGGGTTTATTGGGGCCTCCCCAGGGTTTATTGGGGCCTCCCTGGTGGCGCAAGGGGTTAAGACGCAACCTATGAAGCTAACTGCAGCCACTGCAACACGAGTTCGATCCCCGGCCAGGGAGCAACCCACATGGCGCAGCAGACCTCTCCTGACTCACCCACTGCTCCCCTCAGCAGTGTATTTCAGTCAATCTGTCTGTTCTGTTCCTCACTCTGTCTCTGGTGAATCCTCTCAACTCCCCCCTACACCCCACACCTCTGGCCTGTACCCCAGCTCTTGTGTGCATAAAAATAAATCTTTTAAAAAAAAAGGGTTTATTGGGCCTCCCTGTTGGCGCAAGGGATTAAGCACCACACTATGAAGCAATCCACAGCCTCTGCAGCACAAGTTCGATCCCCGGCCTGTCAGGGAGCAACTATATGGTGAGGCTGACCTCTCCTGTCTCGCCCGCTGCTCCCCTCAGCAGTGTATTTCAGTCAGTCTGCCTGTTCTGTTCCCCACTCTGTCTCTGGTGAATCCTCTCACCCCCCCATATCTCTGGCCTGTACCCCAGCTCTTGTATGCATAAATAAATAAATCTTTAAAAAAAAATAGAGGGTTTATTTACCAAAAAAAAAAAAAAAAAAAAAAGAGAGAGATGGGGTAATGAGAAAATGAATAAGTCAGGGAGAAAGAGAGTGATAAATTGGTGAATGTGTCCTACCAATTCAGCTGAGCTGGAGCCCCAATAGCACGCTGAAAGCTGGTGAAAAACCAGAGGCCCCCGAGACCCACATGTCGGGATATATACCAAACCTGGCTGCTTAACTCCACCCTCAGTTCCCAGCAATCCTCCCTTCAGTGGTGATGACATTATGGGATTGTCATCCTTGGTATCTTGGATCTCTTTGGTCTGGGATGGGGTCCATAAGACCTATTTGTGAAGTTTGTTCAGGACATCCTTTCCCCGCAACATAATGATGGTGAGACCACTGGTAGCAAGTCCAAGATATACTAGAAGAGAGAGAGAGTTCTCAAAAAGAAGGCCCTCTTTCTTACCTCTCTTTCATTCTTCCTGCTCTCAGCAGGCAATGGATGTGTGCACTTTCTTTATAACCTTCTTCTTCCCATTCCCAAATCCATGCATGGCAAGGATTTTGGGAACAACTCCTGATTTAAGAGAGTTGCCTTAGTTTTTATAAATTATTCATTTTATCACTTTGTGTGTGAGTCCCCATATTTGCTGTTTGTAGTCTTAGCTTATGGTGACTTCTTAACTGAGGATTTGAAACAATCAGCCTAGAATTTTGTAAGGCCACCATGCTTTTTTCCTCTTTCTTGTTTAGTCTCCCAGGACTGAGGACAAGAAGATGAAGATTGCATAGCACATCCTTGGGTGAGAGATTGAGCTATCCGACTCTTCATTCAGGGCATTCCAGTTCACTGAAAGGAAACTATTAATGCTCATCTTTCTTTCTAATTTTGTTTCTCTGAATTACAATGGTAAAGATTTGCCAGAGGAGTACTTCAGTAAAATATGCTTTTTTTCTTTTAGGTCTTGTCCTTAATATATACACTTATTTGAATAGAATATAAATCATCATTGTATTGATACTGGCTTAAATAATTATTTTGTATCAGTTGTGTCCAGCTAACTTTGCATTCAGTCTTACTCTTGTTTTAGCATAGTAAGGGGAACTATCCATGTTTATCTGGGTGATGAAAGTATAGTTACTTTGATAACCTGGATTATTTTTCTGTTTTATCTAGACAATTACATTAGAGTTGTATTTATTTGTCTGTTGGTGATAGTTAATGGTGTTATGCCATTACCATAGCAACAGACCATATTATTGCTTGACACTGATATCTTTCAGAATTATTAGTGCATGGAAATTTTCCTGTTGACAGTGCATAGTGATTGTTGAAAATGGGAACAGGGCTCTATCAGAGCTACTTTGTTCAGAACCAAGAGCTCTTTGGCTTCAATGATTGACACAGATGGGTTATAAGAGTTTACTAGTGACTTCCTGCCCTATATTTGTGATTACTGATAAATGCCATGCTACTACCTGGCTTCTAGGAAATGGAAAAGACAAAGTAGGCTTTGACCTGGGAATGCTTCTGTGAGAAATATAATAGCATGAGCACCTGGTTTCCTATCCTGTTTTTTTTCATTCAACTATTATTTATAAATATTATTTATTATCAGGATTATTTTAGTTGCCTTCCAGATATAGACATAGGAGAGAGACTTCAATGAATGCTAACAATAGTACCATATTCCTTTTAAGAATTAAGTATGTTTTTCAGTTTTTATTTTTCACGTAGGTTGTTTGTATTTGGATGAAATAGATGAGTCATCTTTTGCTATTTAAACCACTAATTTGTTTTATCTTGATATCACAACACACTAATGTAAATGTGCCTAAAAATTACAGTTTATGTAAATGCTTACCTAATCCTTAACTTCTGGATAGATGGCTCAATTTTTTTTCTTTCTAAATTGTAATTATTTGGATTTCCTCCCCCACAACTAAGTTCATTTAAAATAGAACATCTCAAGTTTATGATGAAAATTTTCTGTTCTCTTTTATGTAAAGAGAATTTCCCTTTTGAAAGTGCTTTATAATGAGCACTATTTGTCCAGCTATAGGATTTTTTTCCCCCCAGCAAGTAATTTATTCTCTAAATGAGTTCACCATATCATTCCACTGATGTCATTAGTTAAAAATGATTTCCAGCCAATATTCTGTCATATTCTTAAGCGAGGTGATCACACATCATAATTTGACCCTGTTTTCTTCTTCTCTCCCGCCTACCCACCCTTGCCCATGGGCTGCACCCTGGCTACACTAAGAACTTATCCCATTGTTCCTGAAACCCAAACATTCTCATATCTCAGTGACTTCAGACACACTGTCCTCTCTGCTTGTATGGAATGTGCTTCCTGTCCTTGCCTTTACAGACCTGTCTGCCTGAGGAAAGTCTGGCTCAGCTCAACTCCAGTGTTCCTTCTGTGGCAAAGCCTCCTCTGACTCAGTCTCCCCTGTATTAGGGACATCTGGGGAATTTCCCTGTGGGACACATGTCTATTTCACCAATACAGAGTAAGTGATTTTTTTCTCTTTTGTGTTTCCCACACCGGGTATAGTACCTGGTACTGTATTTTGCATGAATGAATATATGGTGAGAGACAACTCATGTTTAATTTTTTTTTTATTCCTTTGTACTGCTCTAGAGGAAGAAGGAAGGTAGGAACCCATGTTACTTGAAGATACTGTGAACATGATGGCTTTATTAAACAACATGCTAAAAATTGTGAAACGGCTAACCTCAGACAAAGGTGTGCAATTGCGGCTCCCCTAGTCTTCCTTGGTAAAGCTGAATTCACACCTTTCTTTGGGAACTAAAAACTTAAAGAAAGAGAACAACTTTGGGGAATAAGAAGAGTAGATTGTGGAATTTCTGAAGGCCCTGAAATCACCATCACTTCCATGTGTGCAGGTATCTCTATGTGATAACATGAAAATACTAAAAAGTTTGTAAGAAGAACAAAACCCACACCTTGAAGAATCACTGGTCTATATATAGTCTACTCTGAATATTATCTATAATATGAGCTGTAAAGTATGTAGGATGGATTTTTTTAACACTAAGCTTCGTATTGCTCTATCTATCTATCTATCTATCTATCTATCTATCTATCTATCTATCTATCTATCTATCTATCTATCTATTTATACAAGCACTGGGTACAGTCAGAAGTGCGGGAGGGTGAAAGAATTCACCAGAGCCAGAGCGGGGAGCAGAGCAGGCAGAAGGACCGAATCACACTGCTGAGGGGAGCAGTGGGCGGCAGGAAAGGTCTGCGTGCCATGAGGGACCCTCCTCCGGTGGGGTGGCTGGGGAGCAGTCGGGGATCGAACCGGCGCTGTAGAGGCTGTGGGCAGCTTCACAACCCAGCGCTCAACCCCTGTGCCACCGGGGAGGCCCTTGTAGGATGGATTTTGATGTTATGTTACATTTCTTCCTCTTTTAGAAGCTAGTGATAGCCCTTACTGTATAACCTGGTACTGTTCTGTCGTGATCTGGGTTGAGCTCCTTTGTATACCACATTGCCAACTTTCAAGCCTTCTGCGTGGGCATGTCTGCTCCTTTCTTGAGAACCTTAATTGAAAATCATGGAAAAGTCTGAATTTTACTGATTCACTTGCTCAGAGCAGGTTCAAATATCATTTCCCCACACTACATTTCTGTGGAAGGCTTTCCTTCACATGAAAATGTTTTTCCTAGTGCTAGCCATCCACATTATCAGCTAATGGTGCTGCCATTCAGTTCCTTTTTCTTTTCAGCAGTCTCTTGGTGAGATGCCTTTTTCTCTGTGAGAGGAATGCGCTTTGTGCATTGTGGCAATAGAAGAAGTGTTTTAAACCATTTCTGAGAGAAGTACTACTTCGTATTTGTAATTACAGTTGAAAATGGATTATATAGAACTTTAATATGTCCTATTTGGCACCATTAGGTCTGCTCCGATACTAGCAACTCTCAAACATCTGTGTTTAACTCTACTATGCTCAACATAATCTTGGGAATATGTATTCTTGCTAGGGTAGGGAAATGCAGATTGGCAGAACTATATTTGTACATTGATATTAATTATAGAAGATCTATATTAACTGCCAAGGCAGTTTTACAGTTAAATTTCAAAATATACAGAACTGATGGGATTTAGAGAAAATGATGGAAGCATCAGAGTAAGACGGAAACAAACTTAAGGATGAATATGAAAAAAGACAAGGCAGAATGTATTACTTGGGAGCCTTTATTAGGTGCTATAGGGATCAATTAAATAGCTCTGTCCAAAGTAGTTTAATGAGCTTGCTTTAGGAGGCTGATACAGGAGTCTATAAAGAAAAGCAATGAGCATTTTCATTAATTATTTTTTTGTTACCACTAAATCCTATTCTCTAACCAACCCAAAGGGCACTGTATGTAGTTTTAATTCCACGTAATATTCATATATTCCTTTTGTGGTTTTGATGGGATGTTAGGTTGCAGAAGAGAGTTAAGGATCAATTTAAGCGTCAGATGAACTACCTCTTGTTGGGTGAGATGATGGGCACTGAAGCCCACAGATTGATAGGTTCAAATACTCTCACTACCATTATTGCTGGCTCTAGAATCTGCTGATTCCATCTCTCCTGGAATTTGTTTTATGCAAATATTTAGTTCCTGATTGTTCTCAGCTGTGCCAGTGGCAGGAGCATGTTTTTTCTTTCCAGGAAATCTTAAAAGATAGGCAACATAGTTCATTGAATTCTCTTTATGACCTAAAACATTTAAATTCAAATCCAGTGTCTTGTTAATACAGGTGCTGTGTCAGGCACTATGATGAATGTTCTTATGTTCTTTCAATTTCCAAATAGCTCTTTTATGCTGGGAATAATAGTAATATGTAGTTTGTAATAGACTTCTTCCTCTTAGTTGTATATGGGTCAGTCTAGTTTTACTCTAGGACAAAACAGAGGTTAGAGGAAGGAACTTCTACAAATCTATAAAGTCAAAAAATGAACAAATCTCTGCCTAGTTTTGTGAAAAAAGACCTAGCACTTTAAAAAGAATACTTACACTTCAACATTATTTCAAGAAGCATTTATAACAGAGTTCATACTGTACATTATCACTGAAGACAAAAGATCAAGTACACAGTTTTTTCCCCACTAGTAGTTTATATAATGTAGTGAATAAAGAGAGACGAAGTTATTTTTGCAAAGTGCATGTGATAGCATTTATTATTGAGATAATGCTAGAATCTAGAAGAAAAAAAAAGAAGGGTAACAACTTAGGTATATGAGCTTATTTCTAGAGAAGCAATGCTTAAGTTGAATTTAAGAGCAATGTATAAAAACTCCAGTCGTTTAGTATGGACTATTTAGCACACAGTTTGTGCCACTTGAGGAGTATTAAGATATAAGCTTTGAAAGGTAAACAGAGGTTAGATCCTATGGTGTCTTGTAATTTTCTCATTTCTATCTATACCTACCTCAAAATTGAATTTGAAAATGTGTTCCCTCCTGATTGATGAAAAAGTCAAGAAAAATTAATCTTCCCTAGTTGTATGTGCAAATAAGATAGAATATATCCATATTAAACTTAATTTGTGCCAAGAATACCACAGGGTACTCTCCAGAGACTCACCTGCATAGTATGTAAGGCTGAAGCTAACTAGATAGGTCAAGTGCTTGTAGGAACTCTTTAGTTGCTCATACTCTTTCACTGCCAAAAGCAGGCATGATTGTTAAAGCTCACATCTGCCAAGAAGTGGACTGTAGTGCATTGTCTACATTTCTGGAATGCACAGAAAAGATTTCCAATGAACAAGGACTTGTGCTGTTTTTAAAGCTTTTCAGATGTTATTGGAACAAACAAACAATAACAAACAAACAAACAAACAAACAAGGAAACAAACAAACAAACAAGAATAGAAAATTCTTAGGAAACTCTCTTCAATTTTTTTGATATCTAGTAACCATAGACAATCAAAATACAAGTGGCTGAGTAATATCAGTATTGTGAATATTGCTCAACCTGGCTGTTCTCAATCAGTAAGTTGCTACTGGCTTCCAAAAATAGCTTCATAATTATGTCATTAATGCACTGCCTTCAGTGGTTTCTTTTACTTTGCCCTAACCTTGTCCCAAAATAATAATATGAAATGCAACTCCAATATCAGAATAAGGAGGGAAATAGAAATATATTACGTATGATTTTAAGAGTACAGAGAATCATATTACTTTCTGGCTGGTGGATATGTCTGTGGTATATAATAGAAATCAAAATGAACTAAAAAAGAGACTTCCAACCCCCTTAATGGTTCTGAAACTTAGACAGAAAACTGTACTCCTAAAGGCATAAATTTAATTATTTTTAAATTTGAGCTATAGGACCTCCCTTGTGGTTCAGGGATTAAAGCCTCAGTGCTGTCAAACTACCGCCAGCCACTGCAGCATGAGTTCCATCCCCTGAGAGAGCTAACCCACATGGTGCAGCAGACCTCTCCTGTCTTGCCTGCTGCTCCCCTCAGCAGTGTATTTCAGTCAGTCTTCCTGTTCTGCTCCCCACTCTGTCTCTGCTGACTCCTCTCTTCTCCTGCACCCCAGTTCTTGTATACATAAATAGAAAATAAACCTTTTAAGAAATAAAATTGAGCTATAACTCAAGCATCATAAAATTACTCTTTTAAATCATACATTTCATTGGTTTTTAGTTTTTGTACAACCATCACCACTCTAATTTCAGAAACTTTTATCACCCCCAAAAGAAAACCTACACTTGTTATCAGTCATTCCCCATTCTCGCCTCCTCCCAAATCCATCTATATGGATTTGCCTAACTTGGACATTTCTTATAAATGGATTTATGCAGTCTATGGCCTACATTCTTTCACTGAGCATAATGTTGCCATGGTTCATCCTGTTGGAGCATGTATCAGTACTTTAATCTTTTTTTATGGCTGAATTGGAAAGTTCTTTTGGGGGGATGGGATGTTTTTCTTCTTTATTGAAGTATAGTTGACATACAATATTAGTTTCAGATGTGCAACACAATGATTTGACATTTGTATGCAATATGAAATGATAGCCACAACAATGTATTTCTTATTTATTTTTAGCAATTTTGCAAATTTGCAGTACAATCTTATTGCTTACAAACAGCATTCTGTACACTTCATTCCATGACTTATTTATTTATAATTGGAAGTTTTACCTCTTGATTCCCTTCACTTACCTGAGAAACATGGTTTTTAATAAAAAGTCAGATGACCCAAAGACATTCTGTTACTTTCTGCCATGGAAATTTTTATGGAACCAAATGCTATTATAGAATAGCTCCTAAAATTTGGTCATAGGGAAGGACCCCAGGAATACTACTGTAATCATAGTTAGGTTCATTGACTTGATACACCAAAGGTGAGAACACAGCAGGGGGGACTGTGTGGCATCCAGCAAGATAAAGGTCCTTTTATAGGATCTGAATTTGCGCTGAATGATTCTAAGGAGGGACAGGGAAGAGGCACCGACAATGGATTGGGTGACATCACAAAGCTTAGTATTTGGTTATTTGGGTATTTGGTTATTTGGTTATTTGGTTATTTCAGCAGTATTTGTTTAGAATGGGGTAGGTGCACAGAGGGGTTGGGGATGTCATTGAAAAGAAGGCGTGATTCACAAAAGGAGCAGTTTTGCAGCTCTGGTGTGACCTTCTGAGAAATGTTTACTGTTGACCATGACACTGACCTTGTCTGTGTCTGTTAGAGACATCACAGAGCTGATTTTCATGCTC